ATACGATTTAATACGAATATAGACATCATGATTTTCAATAATATGGATAAATACACTTATGAGTAATAAATTTATGAAAACAAATATTAGGATAATTCACATTTATGAATATTACAGTTATTTATTCGAATGATTATGAGTTTCGATTATTAGTATAGAAAAATATATGAAAACAAATATTAGTAAAAACTAAGTGTATGATTAGTGATATTATGAATATCAATGATTATGTTTTTAAATATGTAGGTTTTAAATTTTTTATGAAGAATGATCATTATGGTATCAAATTGTATGAGAAATATTTTCGGACCTTCAATGATAGGAATTGAAAAGTTATGTAAGAAAATGCGCTACCGTATTGGTATTGTGGACGACGATTGGCTCGCTCCACTGTTTATAGGCTAGGACTGGTTTGTGATTACAAATCTCACATTAAAAACAACGCTTGAGTGACACGGAATGTACTTTAATCGAAATCTGAAGATCTTCGATAAAGGGTTTAAACAATGTCATTATTGAGCATTATGACGACATTTTTACTATTCATTGTTTACCAATAGAGGTTTGTTAAATAGCGAAAAAAGCGCGCGCTGTAAACCACAGACAGCCATTGGGAGTTCGTTTTTAAAAAAGGAACTAGTATAAAATCTAATTGCCGTTTTCAAAAAAGGAACCCGTAAAATGCTGGCTGAACTTTTTGAATAATAAAAACAAAGTTTTTAACACTGGCTGGAAAAAGCGTTTCAGGTACTAATGACAGAGCCGGACTATCGATCGGGGGGACTGCACAGTCACTGTATTTGATGGCAGCCGGCCCTGGGGCGCATACCACTGCCTACCTTTGTGCGATTATGTACTGCCAGCATGACTCGACTATTTGCGCTTTGAAATTTGGCTGCGAATGGATCTGTATCTACATACTGGTTTCGCATTGTAGGCTGTATGTCGAATGCCTTTGCTTATTTGCAAAATTTAAAACATAGAAAATGTAGAGACGGAGTAAAAACTTTATTATGAAAGTAAATACGTTTTAAATTAAAAATCTGAGTTGGATTCCTTTGCTTTATTCATTCAAAAATGTTAGTTACGATCATAAATATCTATGGTCAGCCTTATAACCACCGTTTCGTGTTTCAAAATAATCTGTAGAGGGATCATAAATTAAAGAAAATATGCCATAAAATATACTTTATCAAATGACTTCAGTTCACTTCAAGCAATTTGTAAACAATTCAGTTGCTACAATAAAAATAAACAATTCGACCGCAGCCGAAATTAATTCGTTTCTAAAAATCTTTAACAAACATGAAAATATAACTTGCTCGGATTTCGAACAGAGTTACAGTATAATTAGAGTCAGTAGGTTTGTTTGCAAACGTAGAGTTAAGTCACTTCATTTATAGTTTCAATAAAATAATTGGTTTTAAAGATTAAATCAGTTCAAACTTATACAAATATTAATTTCAAACTATTCTATTTTTTAATTCTACGATTAACGACAAACATATTGACCACTTAGAAAAAACACCGGATTAAAAAAAACACGATATTTAAAATTAGAACGAAATTCAAGTTTAGTCTTCGTTCATGCAAAGAATATTTTAAGTTTTTCACATAATACTTTGCGGGGCTTTTGTAAAATAATGCTTTAATTATTATTACAATACAAAAATATGCAACGGAGTTATTGCATTTACTATATTGTACATCTAATATAGACATTGGTCGCTAATGAATAAACATTGGTGCTTTTTAAAGCGGCCATTGTTCTTTCCGTGTTTCTCATACAATTTTTTACTTTATTACATTATAATATGAGATCAGAGAGTTCAGGTGATAAAGGTCAAAGGAATATGTCATATGGAATCCACTAGAATATTTTCGTGACTAAAATATGGACAAAAATTAACCATTGTGTGGTAATAGGACAGGGCCACAGTGGGAGAATGTGGAGTAGCATTTTTATTATTTATGTGTGTTTATAAAACTTTATCATGATAGGAAATACGAGTATTACGTTTTATTACAGCTTACTGAATACCTACATTAGTTATGTGCGGAATTAATATCTTCAAATACACTTTATTAAATATCTTCAAATTCTAAAGGGAAATAATTTGTATTTCATGCAAATAGTTATTAATTTTAACCTTTCGGTTTATTAAGAGTTGAAAGTTATTTATTTACTTACTTGTTGAGATCTGATCATTGGAGGAAAAATTTAAAAGGTGTATCAAAACTTATAAAACATGAAAATTATCATGAATTTTAAGATATTTTCAGATTTGGTAACGCATATACCTAATTTAACAACATTTTCGAAGTTTTTTATTAACCTTGCTTAACCATTGAGGCTTTGTAGGTGAAGTGACTAAATATTACCTACTAAGTGCATGTGTACCTACTGTTGTGTACATGCGGTGTGTATTTACAGACATATTTCTTGTTTAACTTGTGTTTCTTTCTCGAATGTGTATGACGTTACTAAGATTATTAACTGAGTTTTGATTTTCAGTTGTTTTTACAACAAATGACGTAGAAAAAGTTTATTCATCAACAGAAATTTTATAGTCAAATTCTTACTTTCATTGTTTCCTAAACATTACCAATATTAATTGTACACGTGTATTTGAAATCTAAAAAACGAGATCTAGCAATTGATTTCAATAATGTAGTTAATACAGTTTTACGATGGTGAAAATGGGACATATTTAAATATGCCCAATTTCCGGGTTTTCCTTCGTTTTAAAGCCAACATCGGTCTTTCAGCCCAAGTGCGAAACGAATAAAAAATCCATAAAATTAAAACCAAATGGATACATGAACCTAATATAATTAACGCACATTTACATACACATGTTATGTATTTTTTCATTCTTAAAGGTTCATATTAACATAATATATTATCTTATGGATCAGAGGCTTGTGCTCACTATTTCTCAACAAAAGAGGTTTTAGACGAGCTGTCAAATTATTTTTTATATTTTTTAAACTCACTAATCTGCTTTAAAAGCAAAGGTGTGCGCTTAAAAGCTTAATTGACGGCACGTTGATGTGATCTGTGGATGACTCGACTATTTTTTTATTCCAAAACTTCTCAAGTGTATTGTATGCGACTAACTACATTATGTTGGTTTTTTTGAAACTTTTCCTAAACATTTACTGACAAAAGTAATTATTTGTACAATACACTATTCAATTTAAATAAATTAACATTAATCGATGGGTTTAAAATAAAGATCCACTTATAACTGGTGTTTGACAACAATAAAACGTTAGGAAATTTCTGGAAAGAATTCTCCATAGGTATTTCTCTAGCTGCGTGTGCGCAGTTTTAATATGGTACAGTCAGCGTCAAATAATTTGTGACACCCAAAGTAGCCAAAAAGTTCTCAACGTCTTTGACAGAATTGGAATAAGGTTGTCTTGTGTTGTCAACATTTGGCCACTTTAGGTATTTGACGATGACTGTACGAGTATATTTAGACTTAGAATTTTGTCATCTTTAAAATTTACACAATTTAATGCTGTATTTTCTAGATCGTCAACAACATGAAAAATAATGAGATTTGTCGTCAGGTTTGTCGAATACGCCATTTATAATTATGTCAATTACTCTTTGTAGAGTTAAGGTTAATTAAAACATTAACTTAAGGATTATGCTGCTAGTACAACGTGTTAATCGGGTGTCACACATCACTTCTCTCAAAACATGTATTTGGTATCGAAAACAATTGTATAAGTAGTTTTTTTATTTTATACAATTACTAATTAACCTGCCATGACCTATTCACTACGTAAAAGGATGTGCTAGTCTAAGATAATGTCTAATTGTTATTTTAATTAACAAACACGGAAAACACATTGGTGCTTGTAGTTGGCAGGTGAAATATTTAACCAGGTTGTAGAATCTTATCACAAGAGTAGAAATAGCAAGTCATGTCCGTGTAGGTGTACAAGTCCTAAAGTCTTCCATAGCTGGAACAACCCTCCAAGAAATTTTTAGATCATGGGACACCGAGATTCTAGAAAACTGCATAACATAGATTCTAGCTCCCCTAAATAATTTCCCAAATATTCAAAGAAAGAAAAAGAAAGAAAATTCCCTATCTCATCGAACCCTTTGCAATTCTAGCACAGGAAACTCCTGTAAGTAGGTAATCTAGATTCGTTGAGAAGAGTCACTGGAAGACTTCTAAAAAACATAGATGTCCTATCTCATGTAGATACTTAAGATCCCATAGAAGAATAGAAGACCTATTCCAGCACAGGACTCCCCATAGACTAAACTTGAATTGTAGATCCCTTAATTAAGAAGACTCACCAGATCTTGGATTCCTTATATCCCGTAGATTCTTGAAACCAAAATAGAAGACTCTACATCCAAGACTCTTTTTCATCAAACCCTTTGCCATTCCAGTACAGGAGTCCCTATTAAACTTTATTCTAGATAGCTTGAGAAGATTCTCCAGGAACATACATATCAGCTCACGTAGAACCTTGAGACTTCAATTGAAGAATCTCCACCTATGATCCCCATCTCATTCAACTCCTTACCTTTCCAGTACAGGAAACTCAGTAAAATTTGGATATGATGAGATGTCTTAAGACCATAATAGAGGTCTCCTAAGAAAACAGATGACCTATCCCATCTCTGATACCACAGCACCAACAGAAGACCCCCTCGATCTATGACTCATTTAACTCCTTACCATACTACTCCAGAACAGGAAACTCTCTAAACTTTGGATTCTAAATGTCCTAAGTAAGACTATAATGGAAGACTCCCAAGATGTTTGACACCACAGCACCAACAGAAGACTCCTAATCTTTGACTCATTTAACTCCTTACCATACTACTCCAGAACAGGAAACTCTCTAAACTTTGGATTCTAAATGTCCTAAGTAAGACTATAATGGAAGACTCCCAAGATATTTTATACCACAGCAACTACAGAAGACTCCTAATCTTTGACTCATTTAACCCCTTACCATTCCAGTACGACGAGAGCCTTCACGGCGGAGGTTACATGGAGGGCGGCGCGATGTACCACGAGCACCGGCTCACGCACCCGCACCTGCCGCCCGTGCACTACCCGCCGCCGGCGGCGCCGACGCACGCGCTGCCCGGCGAGCCGCTCGTGCACAAGCGCGACAAGGATGCCATATACGGGTGAGTGGGAAAGGTTGTGCCTTAGTCTCAGTAGCTAAGGAAGACTAGGCTTCAGTGCATTCATTGATAAAAGGGGGACAAGAGCCCTCGTGCACAAGCGAGGCAAGGATGCCATATACGGGTGAATGGGAAAGGTTGTGACTTGCAAGGAAGGCTTGACTTTGTTTAGTCTCTAGCTAGAAAGACAAGCACTGCTGTCGTCTACTACATTCGCCGGCGGCGCCTACGCACGCGCTGCCCGGCGAGCCGCTCGTGCACAAGCGCGACAAGGATGCCATATACGGGTGAGTGAGAAAGGTTGTGACTTGCCAGAAAGACTTGGCTTTGGTTAAGCTTCAGTGTCGTTAGGAAGACAAGAGCCCTCATGCACAAGCTATGCAAGGATGTCATATACATACTTAGAATCTAGCCAGGAAGACTTGGCTTTGGTTAGTCTCCTCCCAGAAAGACTGCTGTCGTCTACTACCCTCGCCGGCGGCGCCGACGCACGCGCTGCCCGGCGAGCCGCTCGTGCACAAGCGCGACAAGGATGCCATATACGGGTGAGTGAGAAGGTTGCCAGGAAGATTTGCATATGATTCTTTAGATATAAGGCTGCAAAGAACATTCCTTGGTTTCTAGCCAGGAAGACGGCATTAGGTTAGGCTTTTTTCGAGCACAAGCGCGATAAGGGTGCCATATACGGGTGAGTGGGAAAGGTTGGTCTACCTTGGTTTGTAGCTAGGAAGACTAGCGCTTAATACAACGGCTTAAGATGCCCCAGTTGAGTACTATATGTACCACGAGCACCGGCTCACAACCCCCGGTGGTGGTCTTTCAGGAAGACTTGCTTTTGCCTAGCATACCAGTACAACGAGAGCCCAGCATAAGTTTTCCATGGTGGGCAGCACGGTTAGCAGCAGCATGAGCTCCCCTGGCCTACCTATAAGTCTTTAAACAGACTTCGGACGTAGTAAGGACAATCTGTTCAGGTGGGGATTCTAGGATGGCTCAAACTTGGAGTGCAAGTGTGGTTTAGTTCCCCAGTCGACGAAGCACATGATATCGTGCCCTGCGTACCCAAACAACTGCACGCAGGAAGATTTAATGAAGGCTACTGAAAACGCCATTAATGTGGCGGAGTTTTGGGCTGATGGTATATTGTTGAAATGTCAAGAAGAAGATGCACGGTGTCCAGAATGATGTCCAGAACAGGATATTGACTCTACATGTCTAGTGGGTAAATTATACCCTGGTCTCTGTTGCTAGGAAGACTTTAGCTAGGTATTTCGAGGCTTTTTTCCTGGACAAAGATGTCATAGTTTATACAGGTATGTGGGTAAAGGAAAAGTTTGATATAGTCTTTTTCTTGCACTAAAATGTCATAATGTAAGTGGGGAAAACCAGTCTCTGTTGCATGAACGGTAAAGTGGAGTTTGTTCCTTAGCCTCTGTTACGAATGGGGTAAAGAAGAGTTTATGTGAGTTCATTAGTCTCTAACAGAAGTGGGTAAAAGTCTTTGTACCTTAACTTAAGGACTTAGGGAACAAAAACATAACAATGCGTGTGTTCTTCTAATGATTAGCGAATACAGTCAGATGATCCAATTTAATACCATATCATGAATTGCTTAGCATGTTTACGACCAAAGTGAGTAGTTTTCATTACCACCGTGCTTATAATGAGTAATTTAAAATCGACGGCTCTATGAATAACCAGCGGATTAAAAAAGAAATGCGCTTATCTATGCTTTCTCTAGTGGAACCACGCACTGCGATGAGTGTACCATAATGTTTTACTCGACTTTTTTAAATGACCGCCATTTTTTATACGTCCAGGGTTTTAATCTATAACGCTCTGTATGAGAACTCGCATTGAATTTTATCAGCTGATGAATAAAATTACAATTAAGAAAGTAATGCACTTTAGTCTACTAATAAGAAAACAAACAAAGTATTTGGGGATTCGATGTTGGTAGAGATATGGAAACTATAGACCTTTAGTGAAAAGGTTTTGCTATTAATTAAACTAGAAAATGCAATACAATTTATTGTTAGGCTCCTTCATTTCTGCGGTAAAAGGGCGCGTTGTTAACCTATTCACGGTCGAAGAGAATAAAATTAAAAACAAGTTGGAAAACTAGTAATCTTCGCAGTAATTAACTTTTCCCCTTCTATGGCGTTTATCACTGGTTTATTTGGTCCATTATATCCATCAGATAGCACAAAGCGTTTGGCAGTTAAGGCGCCGGTTAGCGCAATCTCCTTTATCTGATCAAAACTTGTCAAGAAACTTCAGGTAGCTCCTGGGTGGGGCCGCGCCAGCAGCGGGACATAAAGTGACACGTTCGCTCGTAAAATGATGCTAGAGTCTGTTACCATAGCAACCAGATTTGAGAAAGTCGACGTTATCTTATTGGAGCAAAAAGAAGAAAATAAAATAGTGATGTGTTTTGCTAGGAAAATTCCATGTCCAGCAGTGTCTTTCTTAAATAAAAATAAATAAAAAAGTAATTAACATTAAATGTCTTGTAATCTCATAATTATTTAGTTCTACAAGTAATATATTACTCCTGTCAAAAACTTTCGTCAGCCTTCATTGGAATTGGCTTAAAAGGAAATAAATCATGTATTAACATTTCTTTTGACAGCTTCCTGACACGCTAACCTAATAGATTCCGAGTGTCTTGTTATGCATAATTTAGGAATTCATGTGTCACACTAATCTAAATTATATGACGTTCACTTTTTAATAAAGATTATTCAACAACTGGCATCAACGCCGATGTATTAACATAATCGTGGGACAGTTATCGTTCGTTAAGTCATCACGTATTTTCTAATAAAATAACATTATTATTCCGCTGCTGCGCTCGAGGACTTTGAACTCACAAACCTCTGTTTACAGTATCTTACCTCGGAAAGGTCACTCGTGGTTTTAACTTTTTCTACACACACGAAAGTTATAGCAATTAAAAAGCAATTTATATGTCTATAATTCTCTATTAGTTCAAACTCATACATCCATGACTAGCGTGCTTTTTGTGCACCTCAGTGCTGTTAATAAATAATATTGCTCGTCACGCTGACTGGCCAAGGGGACAGAGTTATTACTCCTTACATTTGAATACGTTTTTTACGTAATTTCAATGGGTGTGCCTAGAAAAAGTTTGAAAGCGGTGTTTGTTTTTAATTTCAACTGCCTTTTTCTTGTTGCCAGGCACGGCTGGTTTTATGTGGACTGTAATACTGTATTATATTCGAATCATATGTTATAGAGCTTATAAAACGCAAGCCGGAACGTGTTAACATTAACATGATGCGTACAAATGTTAGAGCAACGGTCTATGCAACCGGTATTTTTTAGTTTTTACGATTTACGCGCGTAGGATAAGAATGTGAACAATTGAATTGGAGCAATTTATCTACATTGAATGAAAGGCTTTGAATTGAAGGCTGCATGATAAACGCAGGTGCTCGAGTTAACTGCCGGGTGTTCGAATGGGATTGTCTGTATCATATGACCGTGAATTCTTCAATTTTCACACTGAGTCGAAATTTCTTCCAATCACAATCATCTTCCCTAAAGGATTAATGTAATGATGATAAGTATTTCCTTATTTGTCCAATGATCTTGATTGTATCAGTTTAATGACTTATTTCGTTCACATCAAGTATGATCAAGATTTTTTAAATAGATCGGTAAGTTAATCAAAAGATGTAGGATGTCCTATCTTATGAATTTGCCAAAATACACTCTTCATAAAGCTCAGCTATAGGGCATCACTCCCCCATTTTCAGTTTCAATTTTTGTCATTTTTCTTTTTCCATGTACTAAACACAGTATTTTATGTAATTGTAATAGAAGCTAATGTGCAACTAAAATTTATAGTCTATCTCACATTTCATGGACTGTTGTGCCCGCTGCCTGTGAGGCCACAGGCCTGGCACAGACCAAGATGGCATCAGTGTCACGTGTGCGATGCCATCTAATCTGTGATCGGGAGGTCGCGGGCCTCAAAGACCTCTGGGCCTCTGAGATAGCTTAATAGCCTTCATTTGAGAGCTTTTTTAAGCTCGATGGAAGTTTAACAGTTATGATGGATGCAGGGCAAAGCAGTAATAAAGTGGTGTTAATGAATACGTGTTTGTGACAAAGTAATGTTTTTGAGCTTTTATTATGTTATCACTTTATTTCATAATATTTAACTAGCTGGTAATTTGAAATCTTTAAAAAATGCCCTTTAGAGTATTTACTTAATAATTCAACATAGTCGAGATCTTGCAATGGAGACTACTTAATTATGACCTGATGATGATGAAGATATTCTTGATGATGATGAAGATTATGATGATTTATAAAGAATAAGGATGACGAAGGTGAGAATGATATTGTTCATCATCATCATAATTTCAGCCATAGGACATAGGCCTCCCCCAATGATTTCGATAATGGCCTGTTTGTAGCGGCCTGTATCCAGCGCCTTCCTGCTACCTTTATGTGGTCGTCGGTCCACCACGCTGTGCTATCCAGTACGTGGCCTCCATTCCAGAATCTTTCGGCCTAATTAGCAATTTTGTTCACGTAACATAAATAAGTATTTGATGATGATGTTGTTGTTGATGATGATGAAACTACTAACCCTCTCCCTCCCCGCAGGCACCCGCTCTTCCCCCTCCTGGCGCTGATCTTCGAGAAGTGCGAGCTGGCGACGTGTACCCCGCGGGACCCCGGCGTGGCGGGCGGCGACGTCTGCTCCTCCGAGTCCTTCAACGAGGACATCGCCGTCTTCAGCAAACAGGTCAGCAGAACACTGCCACCTTTGAAAAGGGTTAGACTCCCCGCAGACTTCACACTTTTAGTCGGCCGATAGTTGGGCCCAATAGGGTATATTTGCTACCACCTGGGCAATTGACGTACGTACCTACTTTTTAAAATTGTTAAAACGAGACTCTCCCAGATTTTGTATGGCAAAACTAGCCCGTAATGTCACTATTTTGTCAACTCAAACTACTTTTTTCAATTACAATGCAATCAAAAATCTTAAAGAGGTAATTTAAAATTAATTAAGTTTTAAGACCAGAATGAAGTGCATTTTAAAAAAAAATGTGCTTTGGAACTATTGGGGAGTGGTGGCAAATACCCAATTATAATTTATACGAAGAATCCTGATACTTACCGCACTTTCATACATGTTCATACTGATTATCAGCCCGACCCAAACAATCGGCCAACTAAAATTCGGTGGTCTGCGACTAGGCTTAACGGCAATATAACAGAGGCGACAATAGCCCAGCGGTGTCTGACAGGCAGACTCGAGTTCCAAGAAACGTTGGTTCCAGCTTACCAAGAGGGGTTAACGGGACAAGAGGGGTTAAGCTAAATCTATAAGGAATACGGTCACCACTGTATTCCAGCGGTCGACAGAGTTCAAACTACTGATCCTCGAATTGACATTACTGGGCTTTTGTCGCACTAAAAGGACCAATGACCCGAATTATGATCAGGTTGCTAAGCTTGTGATAGTCACATCAAATCGCAAGGAAACTTGCAAACTATGTAGTAATGCGAATGTATATTTTTGTTTTGAGGAACTTGATGAATGCAAATGGTTAAGTGCCTGCTGTCACGTTAAAAGCTTTTTTATAGCAGCTAGATTCAATTGCTTTACCTAATACGCATTTATTATTTATAATTAAGAAATGTATTCTACTCTGCCGTCACCACACGGCCAACTCTACCCGCGGGTGTCGTAAGAGGCGACATAGGGACTACACATCAAACAGAGAACGGGCAGCAGCGCTCTCTGACAAACATAAATCTTTTAAACTGCGATCTCCAACCCGCCTGCCAAGCGTGGGGATTATGGCAAAACCCTCTACTATAGTGGAGGAGGCTCATAGTCCAGCAGTGGACTGTAAAGGGCTGTTGATGATGATGATGATGAATTAAGAAACTTTGAAAATAACCATTGGAAGTTCTTATACAGCATTGTGACAATAAGTCTCTGAACCAACGCTCGTTAAACAACAGGTGGCTGAATATATTTATATTTAATCAAAGTAAGCTCAGAACTAGCATTATTATGCTAACATAGTCAAACGCTTTATCGCCCGCCGCGAACAAAGGTCAGTCAGTACTCAGTAAGAGCACCACAACGGTTCCATTCACCTCGATCAGCTGACATGTTTATATTACGCTCCATTTTTTAAAAAACGAACCCTATCAAACCCGATTCCAAGCTCAAAATCCATTCAGGGTATTCGAAATTTAAAAATTACACTCAAAAGGGAAAACAGGCAGCATAACTTGAACGCACCTGCCTCCCATCAGAATTAAAAAGTAAAAAAGCGCGCGATCGCATTCGGATATTAAAATGTCGCGCACAACATGGCGGCTCGTAAATCAGAAGCGGCAATTTCTTCGCATAATGCTTTAATAACTATAAAGCGTAATTAGTAACGGGAGTTCTACGTGGATTGGCCTGCTCCGCGACATTATTGATTGTTTACGCCTTTTTTCGAAACGCCATTCGGCATGCATTATAGATTCGATTGAAACGAGATTGATTGTTCGCAGGCAAAATTCGATCGCACAGTGGTTAAATTAACTCTTGTATCGATTATAATCGATCCGATTCGTTTTTTATTAATTTACTGAACGCGGAGCTGATAAGAATAAAAACATTGCTCGTTCGATTGAGACCGGTGCTATTTGCATTTTTATCGCTTATACCCGAGTGTAAATAAAAATAAAAGGATGTTAGAGACTTTCCAATCGTGATTTATGTGACGACTCAGAAACAATAATGGTCCTTTTAAACTAATACCGAGTTCACAGAAACAAAAAAAAACTGTCTCCTCAAAAGACGACCCGAGTTTTTGTGAAGATCTCAGAAACAGCGCCGTTAAAGACAAACAAAGTAAACAAAGTATAGTTATTCCGATACGAAAAGAAGCCCAAACGGGCATTTATCCAATACTTCATTACGCAGCCGTAATAACATGACGAGGCGAATCGACATAGTAAGACCTATTATTTGAGCGACAAAAAAGACCTCATAAATGGAGTCATTTTATAACAATTCGTTCGTAAAACAGGTAATCTGGACACAAACCGACAATCAAGGGCCGTGTAATTTATTTAACAAATTTATAATACCGCAATTTCTTTGTGGGTTTCCTTTTTTCGAGTGACGAGCACAATGGGTGCTGACATGTTGCGGCGGCAGTTCCGATTTCAACTTTGACGTCTTCACATTTTGGAGGGAAACGAAGTTGGCGCGCGGCGGAAGTGACTTTGTGTCGGAGTATTTATTCAATTTCACTTTCGAACCGCCACAACAGCGTTATTGATTCGCTATCAGTCAAAGACTTCATCGGGTGGTAATTATTGAAATTAAACTGTATTTATAGCTGCAGTATTACGAACGGCTCCGACCCCAAGACCCGCCTGTGATAACTAAAATAGATAACTTGTCAGTGTCATGGAACTGACCACTGTCTATTATTTATGCGCGCGTCGCAAGGCGCAGTGTAAATAAACAACAGTGTTGTGTAAATTAAAAAATCAGTACACTGTGACAGGTAACCGATATCGCCATAAAAGTAATCGCTTGCAGATTACGCAGTAAAATGTCACATTTATCATGCGTTTAGCCGTGTAGAGCGCACAAACGCTAATCGCGCGGTTTAATTACTCCAATAAAATGTTTATCAGCAGCGGTGGCACGTGAAATCGAAGATAAAAATTAGGACCTCTCGCTCTAACGCGGTCTTAATAGTGACGTCCATAATTCATCGGCACACGAAATAAATCATAAACGGTAAAGTGTTTATTTTCGACGTACTTAATATGTTATAAATTTATTTAAGTGGCGCGCGGTACGATTGTGTCGGGTGATTGATATAGTGCTCTCGCGAGCGATCGGAGTGCGACTGTCGCGGCACTAGCGTAGTGATGCGCGAGTGACCGCTCGTTCAAGAATTCGAGTACGTTGACACTCGATGAATTAGTTCGCTCTTTTTGTCGTCATTAATGATGTTCGGGCGCGGACGTTTTTTTGCGACGCGATATTTTTGCCAACGGCGACAGCCGATGCTCGATTCTGAGTTTAGTTATTCATGAGCTTAAACTCACATTTACTACAATTCCTTATTAACATTATCGTGTTTAGTGGCGTAGTCGCCGATCTTGAAAGACATTTTAAACTGTTTTTAATTATCTAATCATAAAATCAGTAAAAAAATTGCGCAGTTAATGGCATTGCAATAACGAACGCCTAAAGCGAGCGCAGAAAGAGTAATTATAGAAGAAGTGTAATTAAACAATTTAATAAAGATCAGTGGGGGAATGGTGTTATCGATCACACTGGACTGCTGGTAGTTAATGTTCTGCATGATGAAAGGAATGCGCGCGTCGCCGCAGGGTAAACGCTAAATTAAAAATTAGATTGATTATCTGGCAACTGACTAAGACAAAAGGTGGCTCCAATTTTTTGTTCGCTCCAGAAATAGGCCTCTGTAATGCCATTACAGTACTATGTAAGAACGTCATTTGCTAAGCGTATCTGTGTCGACTGAATCGCGTGATATAACCCGAGCTTCTTAGGCATTCTTCTAGACGGATCCACGTTTTTCAGAGCAGTTCTCATAAAATATCTTCTCACAGTCATTAAGAATAGGCACTTTAATCTGTACTCAATAGTAATCACAGATATCAGTTCTTTGCCTCGATTAAATAACGTGGAACCGAATGGAAGCTCTATTCAAATGAACCCACGAAGGTCGTGCGTTAATATTCAAAGATATTATTACACTTATGTAAAGAAAACGTTAAAATTAAACCAGATACACATCGAGTATTCTAACGTTTATTCTAAACGAGTAGCGTCTGTAAAATTCAAATGGATTCAAGCGTTATTAATCACGAATTTCTTTTCTAACAATAGCCATTAAGATCGCGCTAAGTAGTATCATTGAAGCATAATCGTTGCCTAGCGGTTTTAATGTCAGATTAAAACGCGATAAGTAAATAGTCTTGAGGGGCATCCACACAGTTAGCCGCGTAATTGCGAGCGAGCAGCGCCGCGGAAAAAACTTAGCGAGACACCTCACGCACATGCCGCCGGATCAGTTTATAGAAATGTTGCGATTTACATCCACTGACACGATACTTGAATACTTTTGAGAGCATATGCTGCTTTTGAGTACAGTTCGCGACCGCGGAGCCGCCTCTTTTTGCCCGGTGACGTCACCACAAGCTGGCAGCGATGCTCTTTCCCATCCGAGGCGCATCAATAGCATTCAGCATTGTCTCGTTTGTTTACATCTGTCCACGTTTCGTTTAACGCGGAGATCAATTGTCATGGGATTTGGACGCGCAATTTAACCTCTTTGTCGCCATGATCCAATTCAGCGTTTCGCGCCGAAATAAAATAAATATAATGGCGGATCGATCCGCGGACGACGCAGCTGCGCGCGCGCACTGCACAATATTCATTAGGCGCGCGCGCTAGAGTGGAACCGCGATACGATACGTTTTTTGTCTCTCGCTCGCACGCAGCACTTGCATTTTTTTTTCGACAACGCATCGGCGATTTCGTTTTATCGTCCCCGTCGAGTGGTTTTTGCCGTTTGGAATTCCTTACGTATCTCGTTTCGGGTTCGTTTGTGGATGAAATCGCACCGTAGATACTTTCAATTTCAGTTACAACGTGTGGGAAACGTAACGCGATACTTTCGAAAATTAACTTTTAGACAACTTCTTCTACTGGTAAATCTTGAAGCGTCTCTATCACCC